TTAAAATAAGAATAAGAACCTATTAAGGAACTGGACTTCATTATTGCTCACACGACTACTTAGAAGTTAGAACAGTGTCTCTCCGAATACGTAGGACACTTAAAAATCTGATATCAAGCATTGTCAACTAATTGGGTACGATGCAAATGATAAAAGGTTGCTTAAGTCACCTCGAGTCATATAGACAATCATTATTTAGCTTTCCAATTTTACTTGAGGCATTCAGGTGACAACAGAGTTAATAAACAGAAATTGCTTGATGCAAGATAATATAGTGTGCTGTACCCTTGCAACTATTGCAACAGCCAAAGAATCAGAGATTATGCCTGTCAGTACGCTATTGGGGATGAAGGAACAAATGTTGCCCGCATGACCTGCATTTTCAATTGACCAAACAGAGATAGCCATAAGAAAAAAATCACATCAGCACTATACAGAACAGCAGAACCAGCTGAATTTGTATGATGGGAAAGCCGAAAATGTCATTTTCAACGTAGGGAGCACGGCAAGGCCGCCTAGTGTGATGAAATCCTCCCACAGCAGCCAGAGGTTCCTGGTTGGCAACCTGCAAACACAAGGTTGATATGTGCACTTATGGTTCGGTTTGGTGATAGCGATTGTCAGCGTGACTTGCGTCTTGGGTTGAGTCGGTGAGCTAACCATAATGTGAGTTGGGTTATGCAACATGTCTCTTGGCTTGTGGTGCGCAGGTGTGAAGCTCGGAGGCGGTGGTCGACGGCGAGGTGAACGTTAAGTAGGGACGTGCCGTGCCAATGGACTGGGAGCAGTGAAGGACAGACGTGAGGCTTGGACCGAGGAACGGGAGGCGGGTGGCTAGCCGTGGTGGTGGGCGATATCGGGGACATCGACAAGCGCAAGTGTACATGGGAGTGACCGTGTTGACCGAGTCAAGACGGCGGTCGAGCGACTTGGGCGGGGCTAAGGAAGACTTGGCGGCCGGCCGAGCGAGGACGGCGGTGACATGTGTCGAGTTGCGGGAGATGCGTATAGAGTACGCTACTCGCGAGCAGTATGGTGGACGGTTTTCGGGTTTGGTCCTCAAAATCCGGACGGAGGTTTTGAGGAGGGACAGACGGCACGTGGCGGGCCGAGGAGTTCGCGCGTCGGCGAAACTATCTCATGAAGGACGTGGTGGTCCTCGGATGAAGATTACCTTGGGTTGGACCATAGTGCCCTCGGGTTAAGTGGTTCAACTCAAAAATATTTAGGGGCAAAACTGGGATTGTGTAATAGCGTCACTTCTCCTGGCGCCAACATGACCTGGCCCTTGTTTAGATTGCAAACTTTGTCCGATCATGGATTAACTAGGCTCAAAAGATTCGTCTCGTGATTTACAACTAAACTGTATAATTAGTTATTTTTTTTACCTATATTTAATGCTCCATGCATACGTCCAAAAATTGATGTAATGGAGAGAGAGTGAAAAAACTTGGAATTTTGAGATAATCTAAACAGGCCCAGATTGCTATAGCATCTGGCAACTGCAGAGATAGGAGTCCTATAACGAGCATCTGCAAGCGGGTCTCTCGTATGTACTAGTACGCATGCCTCATCAACCTTTCTACTGCTCAAGTCAAATCCTAATGCCTAGTTAGCACAGTATATATCGATTTGTAAATTATTTTCACCGTAATATTTCTTGTGATTTTATCTATAATAAAACAAGATCGCTCATGACCATATTTTTCTTGAAAGAAAAAATAAGAACATATTTTCTATAAAACCAAATATAGTCAATATAGGTCTTAACTTGTAGCTTTAATTGAGAGAAACATAATGGTGGAAATGGATCGTTAAGTAGATAAATAGTTTAGAAGATATAACTGTTTCAACCAAACAAAAACACATATTTACCTATTCAAAGCTAGGGCCTTGTTTAGATTAAAGAAAATTTCAACCCGATGAATAGTAGCACTTTCGTCTTATTTGGTAAATATTGTCTAATCGTAGACCAACTAAGTTCAAAAGATTCATCTCGTGATTTCCAACTAAACTGTGCAATTAGTTATTTTTTTTACCTACATTTAATACTCCATGCAAGCGGCTAAAAATTGATGTGATAGAGAGATAGTGAAAAAACTTAGAATTTTGGAGTGATCTAAACAAGGCCTAGAAGAGAGAGAGCACGGCTGCACGGGCAGGCATGCATGCATGCAGGCAGCTAGTCCTGCTGCTGCACGGCACGCCTGTAAAGTGAAAGAGCAGAGGAGTCCTGTGCTTGCACGAGCAGTGAAAAATTTCGTCTCCTGCACGCATATCGAAGAGGGCTTACTGTTGTGCACGCATAGTGAATGTGTTTTTGTTTGGTTTCAAGTTTGAAACCGTTATTAGTTCGTTTGGCTGGGCTTGTTCGATGCTGGTTCGTGAAGAAGTACTGCTGGCTGGTTTGATGTGAGAGAAAAATACTAATCTGGCTGAAAATTTACGATCGTTTACGACAAGCACAAGCCAACCGAACAGGCTGTATATCTTTCACACTATTTATCTACTTTTCCAATGTTATGTTTCTCTCGATTAAGGCCTCGTTTGGCAGGGCTTCTCCAGCGGCTTCAGGAGCCGTTTGGAGCCGTTTTCTGCCAAACGGGGTAAAATGAAACGGCTCCACCGATGAAGCCCCTAAAAACGTGCTCTCACAGAGCTTTGGGGTGGGAAGGAGCCAAAAATAGTGGCTTCTCCCGGCTCCTCCTTCAGGCCCCTAAAAACATGCTCTCATAGGGAAGCCATTTTACCAAACGGTTTACCAAAACCGCTTCAGCTCCACCGATGAAACTGTTCGTGAAGCTGAAGCCAAAAAAAATAGCTTCACTAGTGAAGTGAAGCCCTGCCAAATAGAGCCTAAATCTATGAGTTAAGACCTATATTGACTATATTTAGTTTTATAGATACGATCATAAGAAGCTTGAGCCGGTTGAGGCACGACATGCATACAAGGCATAACACGTACAGAACACCGTGCACAGCAGGAAGGGTGGAAAGCTCTCCTCGATACGCGTGCGCGAGAGGAAATTTTAAACCCACTTGCGGATGTTTTGTTGGATGCTCGTGCTACTCCTCTGCTCTCTCTCTCGTCTGCAGTTTCACGCTCCACCTGCAAGTCAGGCTCTCTCTAGCTTGGCGCTGCACTGCACCTGCGAGTCAGGATGGCGCCACGAGAAGTGGCGTTGGCGCAAGATCCACGACACCGAACCAGCGTCACGTACATGCCACGTAAACAGTCATGTCAATGTCATGGAGGAAATAGTCTTGGATCTCAGCGCCAAAGATCATGGCGCCGACACGTGTAACCTTGACGTCAATTACTACGGCGTCGAGCTCAGGGTCCAGAAAACGAAAAAAAACTTCCACTGCTCTAAATGTGACTATTTTTCAGAAAAATAGCTAAAAAAATAAAAAAATTCAATTCTTGAGTGAGGTCAAAAATCTGAGATTTTCGTTGTGTATTTGCTGTGATTTAGTGTAGGAATGGAGACCCGAATCCTCTCGTGTTCTTCGGGATTCGTCACTTTGGGTCTTGTGATTTTCCGTGTGATTTTGTTGTTCACTGTGTTTCTCGTTCCCGTTTCTTTTCCCTTCTTGATTCGTGCTCGATTTGAGTTTTTCTGTGAGATTTGTTTAGTCAGATTGATGTTCCAAGTGGTTTGAATCAATTCCATTGGTGCATCAAGATCAAGCCGATCTTCATTTTGGGGGAAAACTCGTTCTTACTTGAATTTCTTCGATTTATAGAGTTACAGTTTAAATTGAGCAATGATCTCCTATGAATAGCTTTTCATCTTCATTGCGAATCGCTGTGCAAAGTTTGGGAGCGATCCATGAAGATTTGAGTCAGATTTCATCGATTTTCTTGGCTGCTCCTTTTCTGTTCTTCGCGTGCGAGCTCTCTGTTCGTCGTGTGCTGATTGATGTGGCTCCTGGCCGAGCACACCAGCAGCGCCCAGCGCTGATTGGCTCCAGGCCAAGCAGCAGTTGCCCGCACTGCTCCTGGCCACCCAAGGTTCACCGGTCGAGCTCTTGGCTAGGACATTGGTGCTCGCTCGCAGGCTTCGTCCCTCTCTGTTCCGTGCGGTGCAGACCCCGCCGGTGCTCCTGCTCGGTTCGTGTTTTGAAGCTTCGCTGCTCGTCGTGTGTGGCACTAGCGGGTGGGTTCAGCAGCATAGCAGTGCTCCAGCGCCGTGCGTTCCAAGCCGGCTCGGTCCCCAATTCCAGAAGCGCTTCTCCGCTCAGCTTTGCAAGACCGCAGCTTCTTTCTGGATTGTTTGACGAACACTTGCAGGCAGCTTGTTCAACAGCAAGTGCAAAGCTTGATTGTGCTTTGTTTGTTTTAAATCATGCGTTGTCTCTTTCAAGCTACAGGAAGTAATCAATGCTTGCTATTTTAATTCCAGTCATGTGCACGTAATTGATATTGTGCTTCCAACAGTGTTCGTTGTGGCTGAATTTTTGGGAGCACTTTCAGTTCGTCAGTTTGTGTGTGCTGCTATCTTTGTCATGGGACTTTCCGGTTCAGTGTCTCGCGTTGGTGATCTGATTTGAGTTCCGTCTTTTATGTTGGCTCTGTGGTGTCCCGCTGCGTTTCTAGAGAACATCCACTCACTCATTAAAGTCGTGGACATCACGTTGATTGATTCACGTGTTTGGCGGTGAATTTGATATAGCGGCCAAATATTTTGCAAGAAATTTTACAGGTCACATTCACCCCCTCTTGTGGTCGTTTTCGGTACTTCACCACCAAAGTAATCGAGGAAGTTCAGGATGAGGCCTGCGACCACAACGACTGAAGTGGCCACGAATTGCGGCACCAGCATGGACTCCACCATGGCAAGCTGCACGAGAACCGTATAGGTGAAGATGACGCCAAGAGTGTACATGATGACAGCCTCCGTCTCCCTCTTCTGGGTGAAATAGGAGAGGAGCGAGAGTTGCCCAGCAGCCCAGTGAGCATTCCCCGAAGCGTGCAATCAAATCCATCAAAACGAGCGTCAGAGACAAAGAACAGGTGAAATTTGAGGTACGAATTTGGGAGCGCACGACACGAGCCACGGCATGGCGAAGAACACGGACTTGTTGCCAGCGAGGAGGTTGCGGGTGTTGAGGACGATCTTAGGGAGCTGGAGCAGGTGCAGGACGAAGGGGATATTGGCCGCGCCGACGAACTTGGCCATCACCGAGTCCCAGTCCTGGTACTTCTTTGGGTCCTGCACGGCAACCCAAAGAAGGCGTTGTAGATGCAGCCGAAGCCGCCCTCACCAACCTTGAGCGCGCTACTGAAGCCATTGGTGGCGCTACCAGCTCGTCAATGTCGAACACCCACAAGCTCTGCGCACTCCGCTCCTCCGAACGCTCCTGGATGCTCCGCGTGGGCCAGGACACCCGATACCGACGCCACCGCTCTTGCTGTGCACGCCGCCGGAGGAGGAGTCGGACGCCGGGGCCGACTTGGCCAGCAGCGTCCGGAGGAGGAGTCGGACGGAGCTGGGCAGGGGCGGCGAGCGTAGCGTGGCGCCTCAGGCCGGCTGGCGATGGCAAGTGGTGGAGGAGGTGCCGTGTTATCGGGTGGGGAGCCGGCGGCGGAGGCGAGTCCCTGCGGGAGTGGGGACAGAGGCAACGAGAGATGAGCGAGAGGTTGAGCGGGCCCTGTTGGCCCACCTGGCGGTGCGCACGGGGAGAGAGACGGAGCGGCGGGGAGCACGCCGAAGTCCAGAGACACGTTGAAGCCGGTGTTGACGTCGCCTGTTTACTCTTTTTTAGAGTAGAGATAGAGATGGAAGCTTATAATTTACTAATATTAGATAACCACGTAAAGGTGATACAATTATACTAAAACCACTCTTGGGTTTTTATAGCTAAGATACACAGCATAGAATTGTTAAGGAAATAAAAATAACATGACACCCGATATCATGCCACATAGAGCAATAGCACACAACAAAGTCTCTAGGAAATAACAAAATAAAACAAATTAAAGCTTAACTGAATAACAAATTTAAGCTATACCTGATTTTGTTGTCATACCTTGACTCATCCCATATCAAACCATCCTTTTTAAAAAGAAACGATTGAAAAATATAGGATGACTCTTATGAATTTCTGGACCCTATAACGTACGCTATAGAAGAGGAAAGAGACAAAATTTGTTGATAGTATTAGAGGAACTAAATGGAACTCCGCAAATTAGAGAATCTATGACCATGCACTCAATTAAATGCTGCTGAAATTGGGATGGTAAAGTTTAGGCTTGTGGGAGCACATTTAATTTGGACACTGTGCACTGATCTGGATTAATCCGTTTCCCATTTATTTTGGCCATTTAGGGCAGTCCCAACGAAAGAAACCAGTATTTTCTATAACATAGGACACCGCACTAAAAAAGTACTGCTTTCCAACCCATGGTTTCTATGAGTAATAATTATTTTCTCTTTCTCTCTCCTAACTCTATCTTCTTCTTCCAATGAGAGTGCGACATGAGTTCCCTAGAAACTGGTAGTTTCTCCCCAATGGCAATTTCATGGTTTCTTTGTGCATTGGGTCAAAGTAGACCTGATTTCTTCATGAAGAAACCATTTTTATGATTTTTGCTCTCTTTCTTCATTAATTACGTTGCCATGTCAGCATTTTACCTACGTGGCAAGTCATTTAATGAGAATAGAAACCATCATCAATGCACCATTGGGACTGCCCTTATAGATACACTGTGCCATGGAATGTGAAAAATTGTGTGCTTATTATAGGACCTCAAAATCATTTTGGAAGTATATTTCATTAAATTGGAACATTTCCTTTTGCTCTCAAGTATGCATATCATTTATATGAGGTCTACACTTGCACTACTAAAAATGTTTATTCATTTATTTTTCCTTTGAAAACAGAGCTTTTCATTCATTCTATTAGTATGGTTGCATGCCATTCATTCTATTGTTTGAGATACATATACGTCTATATTTATAAGATAGTTTACATGAGCTTTGTTACGGTAGTTACAGTTACTTTCCTTTCTAATTTTCATTCACCATTAATTTAAGGAAGATAATTAGTAATATTTGATTTATGGACTTAAGCGTCTAATGGTAATTGCCCCTAATTTCTCATCCTACCCTAACTCATGACCACACGGAGCACAAAGGCATGATATGGGTAGTTAGCGTCGCCGCCCCGCTCCTCTAAGATCGCCCCTCCACCCTGAGACTACATGCCTCCACCTGCTGGCCACCATCTATCGCTGGTGAGCTGTTAGCCTCCATATCCTCCGGTCATGCCGTCGTTTGTCTTCCTTGCATGCGTCGAGATCGGTGATGCCCCTCTCCCCCACGCCATCGGCATATACCACTTTATCCAATATGACCTAGCCGATGCCGTAACAGTCTGTTTGCTGAGGTTACCATCTGTCGACTAGCTTGTGGGAGAGAAGTTGTCGCCCTGCTCGGCTCGGGAGGTACAGCTGCCTATCAACTGCGGGAGTTCGTGTTTGCATCTCGTCCCCTTGCGAGTGGTCCTCCATCATGGAAGCACCAAATCATGGACAAAAAGCCATGTCAAATGACTAGTAATTTCAACCACAGCAAGCGAACTGAAAGGATCAAAATGCCTAGAGGAAGGTGAATAGGCGTTTCCTAAAATTCACAAACTTTTGCAGCAGATTAAAACACGAGTATCATTTTTTTGAGGAATTTGGAGGGACCGAAGTCCCTACAGTAAATTTATTAAAGAACAAATAACAAAGAAGTTACAGAGGTACACAAGGAAGAAGGGAGGGCAAGATCGAAAGGCAAACTCTAAGAAACAAAAAAAAGACGAAAAAGATAAGCTCAAGCCAGCTACTTAGACCAGATTTTGTATCCATGAGTTAAACTGATTTTCTTGACTTGGTTTTATTCTGTACTGCAACAGTAACAGTTCTTTCATAAATATTCTTCGGCAATCAGTCAAATTCAGCTAAATTCCTTTGAAAATGAGGTCATTCCTTGCAGTCCAAACTGTCCAGCACATCAAGATGATAGCATCCATCAAAAAAGGGGAATTCAACTGATCCTTGAGCTGTGAGATCAGCTCTGGGAAGGCACCATGCAAGGGCATCTCAATACCCATTAGATCCCAACACATTGCAGCAAAGGGGCATTCCACAAAAAGATGATATGCTGTTTCTTCTGTCAAGCTATTGCTTAGGACACAATCATAAGAGTCAAGGTGCATATTTTCCCGTTGTAGAATATTTATGGTGCTTAGCCTGTCTTTAACTAGTAGCCAGAAGAAAACTTTGTGCTTCGGTTGACGAAATTGCGGTGAGGAATTAGTGGACTTGTCCAAAATTCCGGTGAGGACCAAATTTTCGAATCCCTGAGAGTAGTGAACTAACTAATTATGAATTGAAATGCTCAAATACTAAATTGAGTTCACCACACAAGTAGAGTAAGAGTACTAAGTGAATCCACTCCTTTTGCTTGCTCCTTCACCTATACACAATATATATCTTGCCACCACAATAAATAATGCAATCACCAGTCATAAGCACACGGAGACACAAGTATTTATCCCGAGATTCGGTCACACCACAAAGTTGTACCTACGTCCGTGTTGTTGAGGCGACCACAAAGGTCCTTAGAGTCTCTTTCAACTCCCCTCTTCCCAAGCGACCACAAAGATCAAGCTGGGATTTCCACTAGAATCAAAGGGTAATAGAAACTTTCCGGGCACCCTCACAAGTATGAGTCACGAGCGTCACCGGGCAACACCTAGACGGCTAGGGTTCCAAGAACCCAAGAGTAATAGAGTGAAGATCGAATCACCGGCGGGTGCCACAAGTGCTTAAGAGAAGGATCTTACTCCCGGAGTCAAAATCCACGAAGAACTCACTCCAATCTCACTCACAAAGATGGGGATTTGAGCAAGAGTGAGAGGGAGTGTGGGAGTTTGAGAGGAAGAGAGCTTCCTTTCTTGACCCAAGGTTGAAGGAGATGAAAAGTGAGTCAGAGAGAGAAAGAAGGGGGCTGCAACACCCCAAATACACTCAGCTGGCGCAGCTGACCGTTGGGGCGAAGTGGATCTGAGTTCAACCAGAATATCCTAGTCGGGTGGTAAAAGTATCCAGTCAAGAGATGATGTGCACATGCAAGGAGTACATGAAGCCTGAGAATATCCGGGTCGGGTGGAAAATAAATCCAGGGATAGGTTCTCTATCTTGGAATTGAGAATTGATCAAAGAAAATATTTGTGGGGTGTCTAGGAAATATATAATTGATCAATTGAGCACTTAGGACACTTGCAAGTAATATAATTTCGATCCCTCTTTATAGTACCGCATCCTATAACTCAAGTGAAGTTCAAATGAAATTAAAATTAAAACCGAACTTCTCTCAAGTTGAAGCGTGACGCCGCATCTTTCTTTTGAAGTAATAATTGAGGGGTCACATGTTTCATTTGCACTTTTCACATCGATAATTAACTGAAAATCTCATGAAACATCATTAGCTCTTTATATGCATTGTCATTTATTCACCAAAACCCACAAATAGGATTTGATGCACTTACACGAACACGCCGCATAATTCAAAGTTCATTCACTTATTATCCCAATAAGTGAAGATAAGGCATCAAGAACAAACAAGGTAATCCCCTTATTATCCCAATCAACATTGCATTAGTAGTCAAGAAACCTATAGAGGATCCGCGGAAGGGAAGATAGTGATCTCACCCCGGGGAAATTATTTGTCTTGAAGAACGTTGATAAGGTGGCAAAAATGTATAACTGCAGGAACAAAATTTCTGCCAAAACTTAGAGCTAATGGACCATTGAGAGACTTGTTGAAGGTATGGAGAATCTATAGCACTAATATGTTCAAGGCACAGGTGGAAATTAATCCATGGTGAGCACCAAGAATGCGGCTTTTATAGTAACACCAGTCTTTGATAAGCATTATGCTTGTTTTGAAGAGGTATTTTTTCCAATTTTTTATCAATACAAATGAAATTATATTGTTATGTGCTTAACACTACACCTTGGCATAAGCAACTCCAAAAAAGGCATTGATCCTTGTAAGTCCAACCTCAGGCAGGAAGATATGGGGAAATGTTTTTATGTTATTAACTATTATGATTACCATATCTAAGGTTTAATGAAAGACGATAGAGAGAACCATATTGTGGAAAGATGGGTTGTTACTAGTGAAATGCCTAGTGCAAAATATTGTTTTAGATACCATAGTTTTTGTCATATTGGTGGACTACTGGACTACGTAAACTTTATTTTCTTGATATGGTAATATTTCAAAGTTGCTTTGGGT